CAATCGTACCATGGCAGTGGTAGAGAATAGAGGTGGCCAATTCTGGAATGATTATTTACAATTTTTATAATAAATGATCTGTTTTATAAGGATTTATAGATTTGTTACTACAAAAAGATCTTTTGAGGAAAAATCGTTTCTTAGTTAAAATTTAAACTGATTTAAACATTTTAAGGACAATGTATAAACAGATAAATCGGCAACTTAATTGTAAACAATATAATCATAAACAAATTTCACGTCGTCCCTCGAACACCGATCGTATTTATAGTAGAAACAAGTTAGTTTGAACGTTGTCTTTAACAATCTAACGAGCCATAATACCAGAAGATAAATTTTACTCATTCTAATTACGGGGAAATGAATTGAAGGATCTGTCGTTTATTTTTAACACCGAAATGGATAAAATTGACGAAAGCTCGAAGGAAGTTGTCTCGGAAAAAAATTCAAGTAAGCACGACGATGTTGTTTCAAACGACAAAAAACACTTTTGTGATATTTGTCACGAGGCATTTACACTAGAATCGAGCATGATAGCACATCGAAACAAAATTCACAATGAAGAGAAGAACTATGGATGCAACAAATGTGAGAAAAAATTTGAATTCCGAAGTCATCTGAGTAGACACCAAATATTAGAACACAAAAGCCGTAAAGATTTTGCATGCGACTTGTGCGAGAAAAAATTTGTGAAAAAATCTAGTTTGACTACGCACCAAAAATTGGTACACAAAGATCGCAAGGATTTCACGTGCAACAAATGCGAGAAGAAATTTGAAAATAAATCAACTTTACTCAAGCACAAAAAAATATTCCACGACGTTTTCAAAAATTACTTGTGTGAAGTGTGCGCGAAGAGATTTGACACTAAACATACTTTGCTCTTGCACATAAAGACAGTACACGAGCATCGCAAAGATTACGCATGCGACAATTTTGAGAAAAAATTTAGTAGTAAGTCAGATTTGTTGGATACCCAAAGATCGATACACGAGGGACCCAAAAATGATGCTCGCGACAAGGGCGAGACAAAATGCGAGGAAAAAGTGAATTTGCTTATCCATAAAAAGGCAATACACAAAGGCCGCAAAGATTATGTATGCGATCAGTGCGAGAAGGTATTTGGACGCAAATATAATTTGCTTTCACACCAAAAAATAGTTCATGAAGTTCGAAAAGATTATTCATGTGACATGTGCGAGAAGAAATTCGGACTAAAATCTCATTTGCTTCGACACCAAAAAACAGTTCACGGAAATCGCAAAGATTTTGTATGTGACAATTGTAAGAAGACATTTGGACATTCATGGCATTTGCTCTCCCACCAAAGGACAGTACATGAAGGTCACAAAGATTACGATTGCGATAATTGCGGAAAGAAATTTGGACAAAAACAGGGTTTGCTCTTCCACCACAGGACAGTGCACGAGGGTCGAAAAAATTACGCTTGCGACAAATGCGAGAAAAAATTTGCACAAAAACATCATTTGCTGTTTCATCAAAAGACAGTTCACGAAGGTCGTAAAGATTACGCATGCAACCAATGCGAAAAAAAGTTCGTAATCAAACAGCTATTGGTCAAGCACCAAAGTGTAGTTCATGAAGGTCGCAAAGATTACGCATGCGACAAGTGCGAGAAGAAATTTGGAGACCTAGGCAATTTGAGAAGACACCAAAAGATAATCCACGAAGGTAACAGAGACTACGCATGCGACATGTGTGAGAAGAAGTTTGGGGATCCAAGCAATTTGAAAAGACACCAAAAAATAGTCCACGAAAGTCGCAAAGATTTTGCATGCAACAAGTGCGAGAAAAATTTTGGACAAAAACAGCAATTGCTTTCACACAAGAAAATAGTTCATGATGGTCGCAAAGATTACGCATGTGAAAATTGCGATAGAAAATTTGGACTTGAACATCATTTGTTTATACACCAAAAAACAGTACATGAAGATCAAAGAGATTTCGCCTGCGATAAGTGCGAGAAAAAGTTCGTACTCAAACAGCTATTGCTCCAGCACCAAAGTGTAGTTCATGAAGGTCGGAAAGATTTCGCCTGTGACAAATGCGAGAGAAAATTTCGATATAAAGGTGATTTATTGAAACACGAACAGGTAGTACACGAAAGTCGTAAAGATTACGCATGCAACATGTGTGAGAAGAAATTTGGGGATCCAAGCAATTTGAAAAGACACCAAAGAATAGTCCACAATGGTCGCAAAGATTTCGCATGTGAAAATTGCGAAAAGAAATTTGGACAAAAACAGCAATTGCTTTCACACAAAAAAATAGTTCATGAAAGTCGAAAAGATTTCGCATGTGACAAGTGCGAAAGAAAATTTGGACGTAAAGGTGATTTATTGAAACACGAAAAGATAGTACACGAAGGTCGTAAAGATTACGCATACAACCAGAAGAAGTTAGGACAAATGTAACATTTGCTCTCCCATCAAAGGGTAGTTCACGAAGGTCGTAAAGATTACGCATGCGAACATTGCGACAGGAAATTTCAACATAAATTAGTTTTGTTTAAGCACCAGAGGACAGTCCACGGATTTCATTAAAATTATGTATACTTCTATCGAATTTGAGTTGACACCAATAAAAGAGTCTACAAAATTTTAACTTAAGCCAGGGAGAGTTTTTTACAGTCCTTAAAATTATTAGACTTCTCCTAATTGAAACACCATTGTTCCTAGTACTTTTCACAATCCTATTTAAATTTATGCTTTGATCTTCATTTTCCGAGTTTTCAATGACTTAACTAAACCCTGAATAATAACAATTATTGGCCTTTTTCTAATTCAGTCTTGCGTACATCTTGTGCTTTAAAAATAGATAAATAGAGTTTAGTAGGAAGGTAGGTGCTGGGAACTTGCAGCAAATTTCGGAATGATTATTTACAATTTTTTATAATTTATGGTATATTGTATAAGGATCCGTTGACTCTAAATTGAAAAAATATTTTTTGAAGTATTGAATTATTTATTTTTAGAAAGTCAAGAATTCTTCAAAGAAATTTTCCCAGGTTCAAATTTTAAACTAGGGTAAATTTTACATTTAATAATGTATGGAATTTTTCATTATACATGTGTTTGATTTATAAACTTGATGTTGTCCAATTAAGACTTTTATACTGGTTCACATTCAGAAGGCAACGTATAAACAGATGAATCGGCAATTTAATTGTTAACAATACAATCATGAACGATTTTGACATCGTCTCTCTAACCCTGATCATGTTTATAGTAACAACAAATTAGTTTGAATGTTATACTTCGGCGATCAAACAATCCATTATACCGAAAGATAAATTTTAATTATTCAATTTCCGTGCGTCAAAATAGAAGAATCCATCGTTTAATGTCAGCACCAACATGAATAAAAGTGACGAAAAATTCAAGGAAGTTGTCTTAGAAAATAATTTAAGTAAACATGACATTGTTGTTTCAAACGTCAAACAACACAACCCATTTCCCAATGAACCAAAAGATTACGCATGTGACAAGTGCGAAGAGAAATTTGAGTTTCGAAGTCATTTGAGTAGACATCAAATTTTAGTACACAAAAGTCGCAAAGATTTTGCATGCGATCAGTGCGAGAAGAAATTTGTGAAAAAATCCAGTTTGTTCATGCATCAAAAGTTAGTACACAAAGAACGCGAAGATTATGTATGCAACAAGTGCGAGAGGAAATTTGAAAAAAAATCAACTTTACTTAAACATAAAAAAATATTCCACGAAGTTTTCAAAGATTATTTATGTGAAAAGTGCGCCAAGAGATTTGGAAATAAACAGAGTTTGCTCTTGCACATAAAGACTGTACACGATAAGTGCGAAAAGAAATTTGGACAACAGCATCAATTGCTCACCTCGCTAAAGACGGTACATGAAGGTGGCAAAAATTACGCATGCGACAACTGCGAGAAGAAATTTGGAAGAAAATCGTATTTACGCAGACACCAAACGGCAGTACATAAAGAGCACACAAATTATGTATGCGTTAAGTGCAAGAAGAAATTCGGACTTAAACATCATTTGCTACGGCACAAAAAAACAGTCCATGAAGGTCGCAAAGATTACTTATGCGACAAGTGCGAGAGAAACTTTGGAAAAAAATCGGATTTGTTGAAGCATCAAAGGACAGTACACGAAGGTCGCAAAGATTACGAATGTGACAAATGCCAAAAGAAATTCGGGGAACGAGGCAATTTAATAAAACACCAGATGATAATCCACGAAGGTCGTAAAGATTTCGCATGTAACAAATGCGAAAAAAAATTTGGACAAAAATCGCATTTGCTCTTCCACCTAAAGTCAGTACACGGAGAGCGGAAAGATTTAAAAGACTTCGAAGATTACTTATGTGACGATTGTGGGAAAAAATTTGCACATAAACGATATTTACTTTTGCATATAACTGCAGTCCATGAGGGTCACAATGATCACCAATGCGATAGGTGCGAGAGGACATTTCGGGAACAAAGAAATTTAAGAATACACCAGAGAATAGTTCATGATCGTCGCAAAGATTACGCATGTGAAAATTGCGAGAAGAAATTTGGACAAAAATGTAGCTTACTTTTGCATCAAAGGACAATCCATGAAGGTCGCAAAGATTACGCATGCGATCAGTGCGAGAAAGTATTTGGAATAAAAGCTAATTTGCTTTGTCACCAAAAAACAATCCATGAAGGTCGTAAAGACTTCGCATGTGACATGTGCGAGAAGAAATTCGGACTAAAAGCTCATTTGCTTCGACACCAAAAAACAGTTCACGGAAATCGCAAAGATTTTTTATGTGATAATTGTGAGAAGACATTTGAACATTCATGGCATTTGCTCTCCCACCAAAAGATAGTACATGAAGGTCGCAAAGATTACCTGTGTGATAAATGCAAAAGAAAATTTGGATATAAATCTGATTTGTTGAAGCATCAAAGGACAGTGCATGAAGGTTAAAAAGATTACGCATGCGATAAGTGCGAAAAGAAATTTGGACAGAAATCAGGTTTGCTCGTCCACTTAAGGACAGTCCACGAAGGTCGTAAAGATTATGAATGCCATGAGTGCGAAAAAAAATTTACGCAAAAAGTGTATTTGCTCAAACATCAAAGAAGAGTTCATTAAGGTCGTAATAATATATTTCGTAACAAGTGCGCGAAGCAGTTACAAACCCCATGTTTCGCGTGCTCGAATAAAGGGTGATTGACATATACATAGATACTGGTTGAATATGCATAGATACTGGTACACTAGCCGGTAAAAATATCTTTCCAGACTGAAGGTTGCTGCGTCAAAAAATTCGGAGTCAATCTATGTAATCGAAAAAGTTCAGGGTTATAGACGAACAAACCTTAAGTCGCGGAGCAGACGTCATTAGACACGTGCGCGCTGAAGGCTTGAAGCTGGAGACTAATTAATTAATAATTAAGAAAGAGTCTATTCTACGGGAAATATCACCGAGTTGCAGCCCGTCGTTATCGTGTATATGTTGATAATAAAAATTATCAAGAAAATCTACTTGATCCTATCGAACACCAATACTCTAGCACTATTCGTAGCCAGGTAAAAAATTATATTCTTTTAATTTACTTCACTGGTTTACTTAATTTATCATTTTTACACTATTTTATTTGTATATTATTTAATTGTTTTGTTATCTTTCCTTTCGTTTTCTTTATCGTTTAGATTCATAGATGGTTCTTCACACAGACTTGGAGAGACAGCGTCGTGCCACGACCAATTCAGCCCATAAGAACTGATGATGATTAAAGCGGTGGCCAAGTTCGACTTTGCACCACTGTTGCCAGCAAAACCTACTAAATCTGCAAGTATTGTGAATCAAAAAATCTTAAAGCACCCATTTACAATGATAGAAATTAACTAATTAAAATAACTTTCTAAATTATAGGTTGGATCTTCAAAACACTCGTCATATCCTTTAGAAACAAAATCAGCAGAAGAGGCACAAAAACTTGCAGCTCAAGCAGTTTTAAATGCAGTACTGAATAAAGATGATGATCCCCTTGTGGTTAAGTTTAAGTGAAGAATATTATCAAAAATACTATGAAACACTTCCAACCAATTGGGTCAAGTTAGTTGAGCAAGCTGTTGCCGTTGATGTTGGAGCCAACAATATGATCATACTCAGTCCTCAGAACAGGTTCGCCTCTTTGAAGTTTGTTTATTAGCTGAATTTGATCATCCAAACATAGTAAAATTACTAGGTGTTTGTGCTCTTGGTCGACCTATGTCAAATAGCTTCTGGGATGGTCTACCTATCTGACCACCGAGATCTTGCAACCCATAATTGCTTGATCAATGACGAAATGGTAGTGAAGATTGCTGATTTTGGACTCTCACAAAAGATTTATCTCCAAGATTACTACAAAGGCGACGATCAAGATGCCATTCCTGTAAGATAGATGCCTCTTGAAAGTATACTTTATAATAAGTATACTGTTGAATCTGATATGTCGGCATTTGCTGTTTGTCTGTGGGAGATATTTAGCTTTGCTTTGCAACCTTACTATGGTATGACTCACGAAGAAGTCGTCAAATACATTAAAGAGGGTAATGTGTTACAGTGTCCTAGGAAAATACACCCTACTCTGTTTACAACCTTATGAAACTTTGTTGGAATAGAAAACCATCAGATAGACTAACATTCAAGTTCATTCATGATACGCTCAATAATATTAGGCATGAGCTCATGGCTGAAAATAAATCTAATAGTGTACCATTACGTGCAAACTTGTAAATGTTTATGTGTAGGCATTTAGTTGTAAAAAAGACAAATGTGAAGATGAACGTTTCTATTTGCTTCATGTACTTTCTGTACCATTTGATAAATGAAATATTTATACTCTCTTACTTTGTTGAGGTATAAATCTGTGAAACTTTTATACAATTTTATATATTGTAAGAACGCGACGAGTGTTAAATAATGTCGTAAAATCCTATGAATTTATTGAGGATTCTGTTACCAATGTAATAATAAAATTAGTACAAGTCTTACATGTATAACAGATCAAACTCTTGCAACAGCTTTCCATAATTGGTGTACGTGCGAAAAGCGTTTTTTTTTAGAAAATGTAAACATGTAAATAAATTTTTTAATGTTTTGTATCGTTAAATTTTTACTGCTGCGTTTTTGTTGAAATTTAAAAATTATAAGATAAGCCTAAGTATAATTTTCATAAGGACTTTACAATTAATTATCACGCTAATCTAATTTTACATAGTTCCAAAAATGTATAATGAAAAATTAGTGATATAATATTTTTGTTTATTGTAGTCAATGTATGGCTTGTGTCAATTTTAAGTGACAACTATTTCGCTAAACCATGTACAGAAAAAAAGCTTGATTTACCATGCAAATTTTTTCTTTATTTTTTAAGTGCTTTTAATGTATTAAAAAAGTATTTTGTCTAATTCTAATGCTATTAACTACTAAATGAATACAATTTTTCATTCCTTTTACATATACATGTAACTATAATGAGTGTAAAAATATAATGACTGATAATGAAATAAAATGTTGTTTTTCATAAGTTTTTGTTTAAGTTATTTTTATGATTATAGCTTATCCAACAAATCTTTGTAATGGGACTTCAATTTCATTAACTCAATTTTTAATAATTTATATATTGCCCCTGAGCTTCAATTACTTGCCTTCAATCTGCGAGGCATTGAGTCGGTTAAATTTTTAAAAAATGGCAAATCGTCAAACAGATTGTTCCAGCTATCCATTACTTGATTTCTCAAAGTTTCAATATTTGGTCTCTCCGTGGGAATGTATTTTGCCGTAATTTTTGCCCACATTGTTTCTATAAAATTTAAATCCGGGCTACGGGTTGGATGATTTAAACGAATCAAACGATCGTTATTTCGATACCATTCCTTTATAATTTTGGCCGTGTGCACCCTGCTGTTATCTTCGATGATATAGATCCGCTCATCCCTTGGATATCTTTCGAGAACCGTGGGAAGCAGCACGTCATTTAAAATCAATCGATAATCGATCGATTTCATTTTCCTGTCGATTTCAACGATTGCTCCAGGGCCATCACCACTCGCGCAAGCCCAGTAACTTCGATTGACTCGTCCGCTATTGACCTTTTTGATCACGTTTTTCGCCTCGTAACGGGCATTCGGCATACGCTATACTCCACGCCTTCCTGATTGCGATATATATTTCTTAGATTAGATTCCGGATTAAAATGAATAAAATATACAAATTTTTAAACTATTACCGTCTTTTGATGTTGAAAAGACTTTTTCATCGAGGGCGAATACGTGCCTCCAATCGTTTTCACCCCAATGGATGTGCTCGTTCGCGTAACGCAGCCGTTCGTCAATAACTTTAGCGCTCAACAATGGCTTTTTAGCTGCAATGCGAAAACGCATCTCCGTTCGCTTTTTGATTGCCGTTCGTAGTGTTTTTTCGGTCACGTCTAAATTCATCTCGTCAGGCAATCGGTAGACCGGCATGAACGGGGTTTCTTCAATGCGGTGTATTACTCACTGCAAATCTTCATTAGAAAGTTTGAGAGGTCGGCCAGGATTGTTTTGCCTGGTATCACTCACGATTCGCCCTGGATTGTCGCGAAATCGTGCTATCCACTTTTTCACAGTGTTTACCGAACAATTCAAACGTCCGGCTATTATTACATCTTCGTACCCATCAAGCCACAACGACTTCAATATTCCAAGATTAAAATCAGAGGGTATAAATGGCATTTTCACACTGTGAGTTCAATAAAATTCTAACTAGATAAATAAATTCGTATAATACGCGGAGGCTGTCCAAATGCTCAGTTGCACTACTATTTGTTTTTCTCCTCGCTATAGTCTGCTTTTTTTAAGTGACAACTTTCTTTTGTTTTTTTATACATATGCGATTGCATGCTGCAGTGCATCATTTCGCATCGATCATTGTTAGCGTTCGTTCGGAGCAGAGTTTCAAGCAGTTTTTCGGAATGTCGAATAATATTGTGACAGTGTTAGCCGATTGCGAGAGAAGCGGGCGTTTACCTAAAATTAGTGGTGATTCGCTTCAACATCGAAGGTTGAAATTGGACATCGAGTACGGGCCCCAAGTACTGCAAACGAACAACACCATCGAAGCGATCCAATCTGACGAGTGGATCATCGTCTACGTGAGCGAGTACTTCGGGCTCGTAGGCTTCAAAGAAGTTAATCTAATATTTTGGACAACTGGAGAAGAATCGGGCATAGCGGTATTGGATCGAGAGACTCCGATATGTTACCGAGATACTCTTATCAATGAAGTGCTGCCGCAGGTTTCAAAAATTAACCATTCGAAAAAAAGTGTGTTGCTGGTGCTAGACTCGTCGAAAAATATCCCCGATCGATACGAGCTCACTAAAATTTTCCGCGCATCGGCTGCATACTTTGTAATATTGCCCGCTGAAAATCGAATCACAAAACCTATTCGGAACGCAATTAAATATTGCAAAATATTCGTGATGAATGTCGATTTCAGAGGACCAGAAAATCTATGGGACCTCGAAATTAGTTGGAGCTGCTGCAGTGAGATCAATTCATCAATAGAATTCGAAGAAGATATGAAGGAATTAATGAGCAACTTAATTAAGACTAAGTGATATGATTGTTATTTGAAATTAAAAAAACTTGTTTGTGTTCGCGTTGTGTGCCCGTAAGAAAAATAGTGTATAATTATAATTATTTTATGAATGTGTGACTTTTTGATTCACAATACTTGCAGATTTAGTAGGTTTTGCTGGCAACAGTGGTGCAAAGTCGAACTTGGCCAACCGCTTGAATCATCATCAGTTCTTATGGACTGAATTGGTCGTGGCACGACGCTGTCTCTCCAAGCCTGTGTGAAGAACCATCTATGAATCTAAACGATAAAGAAAACGAAAGGAAAGATAACAAAACAATTAAATAATATACAAATAAAATAGTGTAAAAATGATAAATTAAGTAAACCAGTGAAGTAAATTAAAAGAATATAATTTTTTACCTGGCTACGAATAGTGCTAGAGTATTGGTGTTCGATAGGATCAAGTAGATTTTCTTGATAATTTTTATTATCAATATATACACGATAACGACGGGCTGCAACTCGGTGATCCTTCCCGTAGAATAGACACTTTCTTAATTATTAATTAATTAGTCTCCAGCTTCAAGCCTTCAGCGCGCACGTGTCTAATGACGTCTGCTCCGCGACTTAAGGAGGTTCCCTTGCAAAGTTCGCAAGAAGTACATACATCAATATTGATAGATTTTGACCTCCCGAATCCAATGGTATAGCTCACATATGCCCAAGCCAGTCAAAATCTCGAAAAAAACGCGATCAAAGTTTCGAAAATTAACATGGGCAACATAGGAATTCATGAAAATTTGAGCTACATTTACAATTTATGAAAAGAAATCAAAGTTCGCAGGGGAATGATTATATACAAATTGTAGAGAAAGTTCTTATCTTTCATAAACCGTGTCTCAAAGTAGAGGTAGCCTGCCGTTTTTTCAATATTTTTTTAATAAAAGATGCGAAAACACGACTTTTTCGGCTCGTTTTAGGGCTAGCAGACGACAAGCCAGCTACCTTAACCCGTGTTACTGCGCGAACTCTCAATTGACTAGCGTGTTACCCGAGGGAACCTCCTTAAGGTTTGTTCGTCTATAACCCTGAACTATTTCGATTACATAGATTGACTCCGAATTTTTTGACGCAGCAACCTTCAGTCTGGAAAGATATTTTTACCGGCTAGTGTGTATATGTTTCTGTAAAATTTCAATAAAAACTGTGCAATATGATTGGGTCTTACCTGGATCATTTGGTTGGCACTTTACTTTTTTACCTGGCCCCTCCTTCTCTTCGTTGACTTTTTGCTCATGCAACGAACAGCCGGAAATTTTTTTACGTCTTGTTTAGAACAAACTTTTTGATCGAGGCAAGCTCTTTGTTCAAAATTGGATTTTTTATAAACGTCAGGTAATAATACGCGATCCTAAGTTTATCAAATACACCCGGTTTAAAGATTTTTATAAATGATAAGGCTCTTAATTGATTTATCTCTTTTCTTCATACTTTCTACTAGTCTATTTTAACTATTTTTTAATTTTAATTTTCTGACATTTCAAAAATCAAACTGAGCAGTAAAATAAATAAAGACATGCGGCAGAAAGGTATACAGAGAGCATCGATGGCATTGAGAAATGACAACAGCATCGTGGGGGTGTGACAATAAAAGCTAAGCGCCCAACTGTGCGACACAATGTCTTTTTTCACCTTGCATTTACGCGTTTCTGCGTGCGTGTCTCTCCTTTTTGACACAAGCTTTCGAGCTTTCGTGCCTTTTGCATTTTTTTAAGCAAGATTTCTCTACGCGTGTTTGGTATAGAGAAGTTCTCATCTTAGAGACAGAGTCTCTCCTGCTGCTGTTATGATTTAACTATACATACGCATAGCTCATGGTGCTAATTGCTGTTCAGGAACTAAGCTGTCGCTCGTATTTACACGTTTGAGTGAATCAAATTTTACGTTTTTAAAAAAACAAGTAATTTTCGCGATTAAATAAAAAGACAATTTGGTAGCTTGTGAAGAGCGTAAAACATGGAAAATGAGGAAAAAACCTGTCTGTAGTGGTGACTCGGTTACCAAACTTTAACAGAAGTTGTATTTGTGTTTGTATTTGTATGAGAAGATCTGTCTATATTAACTAATTTGAGATATACGAACAACTTTTTTTTCTACTTTTATGCTATTTCACACTATTTTTTCCATTGTAAGGAGTTTTGAGGTTATGAATGTCATTTTTGAGTACAGATTTGAATTTTACATCAAATTTTATATCAAAATACTACATGGTTTGGACAGTTTTTCATCTGCCCCTAGAAAAGCAGAGTAAAAAGCAGAATATCCTCAAAACGTGAAAATCCAACTTTGAGCCCCTGTACATCCATCCATGGTTAGACCTAGGGAGCTGTGATTTTCAGGATTTTAATTTTTCATTGTGTTCTTGAATAGTACATGGTTAGTTTCAACTTCATTTTTTGTCCTGCAATACCTGTTATTGAATAGCCCTTGTATACATTTTTCTTAAATTTTGAGATTCCTAAGAACGCAACCCCTGAAATTGCATAAGAGCTTGGGTTCAGTATACAAGGTTTCCTCGTACGCGGTGCTTTTTTGGAACGTAAACCCCACGTATACGGAGGGAATACTGTATTTTCAAGACAAATGTTCAAAAACCACTTTTTTTTGTTTAAATAAATGAATTTTTAAAACGGTTGCTAATATCGTAAATCTGACGCCAGATTTTGAAAGAACGATAAAATCCCATAAGATATTGTAATTTATCATTATTTTGATAATGGTTTCTTAAAAAATAACGCCTGGAAAAATATGTCACAATTAAGGTCTCTAGGTATTGGACGGGTTAAGATCGTTTTAATATTGTTAATACCATGTATAAACAGATAAATCGACAACTTAATTGTAAACAATATAATCATAAACAAATTTCACGTCATCCCTCGAACACCGATCGTATTTATAGTAGAAACGAGTTAGGTTAAACGTTGTCTTTAACAATCTAACGAGCCATAATACCAGAAGATAAATTTTACTCATTCTAATTACGCGGGAATGAATTGAAGGATCTGTCGTTTATTTTTGGCCTCGAAATGGATAAAATTGACGAAAGCTTGAAGGAAGTTGTCTCGGAAAATAATTCGAGTAAGCACAACGATGTTGTTTCAAACGACAAACAACACGTTCCTGATATTTGTCAGGAGGCATTTGTACTAGAGTCAAGTATGATAATGCACCGAGATACAATTATTCAAGAACAGAAAAATTTCATATGTGACAAGTGCGAAAAGAAATTTGAGTTCCGAAGCCATCTAAATAGACACCAAATATTAGAACACAAAAGCCGTAAAGATTTTGCATGCGACATGTGCGAGAAAAAATTTGTGAAAAAATCTAGTTTGACTACGCACCAGAAATTAGTACACAAAAATAGTAACAATTTCACGTGCAACAAGTGCGAGAGGAAATTTGAAAATAAATCAACTTTACTAAAGCACAAAAAAATTTTCCACGAAGTTTTCAAAAATTACTTATGTGAAAAATGTGCAAAGAAATTTGACACCAAACATACTTTGCTCTTGCACATAAAGACAGTACACGAGCATCGCAAAGATTACGCATGCGACAATTTTGAGAAAAAATTTAGTAGTAAATCAGATTTGTTGGATACCCAAAGATCGATACACGAGGGACCCAAAAATGATGCTCGCGACAAGGGCGAGACAAAATGCGAGGAAAAAGTGAATTTGCTTATCCATAAAAAGGCAATACACAAAGGCCTCAAAGATTATGCATGCGATAAGTGCGAGAAGGTATTTGGACACAAATCTAATTTGCTTTCACACCAAAAAATTGTTCATGATGTTCGAAAAGATCATTCATGTGACATGTGCGAGAAGATATTCGGACTAAAAGCTAATTTGCTTCGACACCAAAAAACAGTTCACGGAAATCGCAAAGATTTTGTATGTGAAAATTGTAAGAAGACATTTGGACATTCATGGCATTTGCTCTCCCACCAAAGGACAGTACATGAAGGTCGCAAAGATTACGTTTGCGAAAATTGCGGAAAGAAATTTGGACAAAAACAGGGTTTGCTCTTCCACCACAGGATAGTGCACGAGGGTCGAAGAAATTACGCTTGCGACAAATGCGAGAAAAAATTTGCACAAAAACATCATTTTCTATATCATCAAAAGACATTACACGAAGTTCGCAAAGACTACGCATGCAACAAGTGCGAGAAACGATTTGGAACTAAAACGTATTTGCTTTTGCACCAAAGGATCGTACATGAAGGTCGCAAAGATCACACATGCGACAAGTGCGAGAAGAAATTTGGATATAAAAAGACCTTGCTTGTACACCAAAAGACAGTCCATGAAGGGAATAGAGACTACGCATGCAACATGTGTGAGAAGAAGTTTGGGGATCCAAGCAATTTGAAAAGACACCAAAAAATAGTCCACAATGGCCGCAAGGATTACGCATGCGGTAAGTGCGAGAAGAAGTTTGGACAAATGTCACATTTGCTCTCCCATCAAAGGACAGTTCACGAAGGTCGTAAAAATTACGCATGCGAACATTGCGAGAAGAAATTTGGACAACAAGGAATTTTGCTTCGACACCAAAAAACAGTTCACGGAAATCGCAGAGATTTCGCATGCGAAAGTGTGAGAATAAATTTATAAGTAACTCAGATTTGTTGAAGCACCAAAGGGTAGTCCACGAAGGTCGCAATGATTACGCATGTAATCAGTGTGCGATGAAATTTGAATATGTATCGAATTTGCTCAAACGCCAAAGGCCAATACACGAATGTCGCATGATTTCGAATGTGACAAATATGAAAAAAAATTTGGACAGAAACCAGGTTTGCTCATCCACTTAAGGACAGGCCACGAAGGTCGTAAAGATTACGAATGCAATGAGTGCGAAAAAAAATTTACGCAAAAAATTCATTTGCTCAAATATCAAAGAAGAGTTCATTAAGGTCGTAATAGTATATTTCGTGACAAGTGCGCGAAGCAGTTAGAAACCCCGTGTTTCGCTCGCTCGAATAAAGGCTGATTGACATATACATAGATACTGGTTGAATATGGATCATATCAGAAATGAGTTGATAGGTCCAAAAATGACCTATCAACTAAATGCATTTCTTAAAAGTTCATGAAAAAACAAAACTTTTCATGTGTTTAAAAAGTGCCATGGTTCCTTCCTTCAAAATCTACAGGTGCTCAAAGTTAGAATCTGAAAACTAACTTTTTTCTCCATAGGCCCAATGTAGCTCTGAAAAATAAATCAAACATAGTATTTTTATGTATTTTTTGATAAGGAATTCATTGGTGATATGTAAAAAGTGATTCAGATACTCTTACACCATTAAAAATCAAAAAAATGCATTTTAGGCCCAAAATAGATGTGTTCGTCCTCTTGGATTTGCCTGAAATTAATAGAGTATTATTACAACATCAAATTAAAGCCCTCTACCAAGTGTCATTATCGGTTGGCCAATATCAAGGAAGATATACTATAAAATGTGGCTATCATTCACTTTTACATCATGATAGACTGAATGTCGACTATCAATACTGCCTAGAGCAATCAACTGCATTAAAAGCAAGCTAGAAACACTAATTTATCTTTTTAAAGTTCAATTACAAGTACTTTCTGCACAGAGTTCATATTTAATACCACTGTGAATAAAACAAACACCTTATTCATATGTAATCAATTAATAACTTCATTTATGCTAGATAAGTAATACTAGTATGCACTGTTTGGATTGAATATTACTTTAGCGTTTGTTTCATTCACAGTGGTATTAAATATGAACTCTGTGCAGAAAGTACTTGTGATTGAACTTTAAAAAGATAAATTAGTGTTTCTAGCTTGCTTTTAATGCAGTTCATTGCTCTAGGCAGTATGGATAGTCGACATTCAGTCTATCATGATGTAAAAATGAAAGATTACCGCATTTCATAGTATATCTTCCTCGATATTGGCCAACCTATAATGCCACTTGGTAGAGGACTTTATTTTGATGTTGTAATGATACTGATTAATTTCAGGCAAAACCAAGAGGACGAACACCACATTACATATCACCAATGAATTCCTTATCAAAAAATACATAAAAATACTATGTTTGATTTATTTTTCAGAGCTACATTGGGCCTATGGAGAAAAAAGTTAGTTTTCAGATTCTAACTTTGAGCACCTGTAGATTTTGAAGGAAGGAACCATGGCACTTCTTAAACACATGAAAAGTTTTATTTTTTCATGAACTTTTGAGAAATGCATTTAGTTGATAGGTCATTTTTGGACCTATCAACTCATTTCTGATATGACCCATATGCATAGATACTGGTACATATGTTTCTGTAAAATTTCAATAAAAACTGTGCGAATATGATTGGGTCTAACCTGGATCATTTGGTTGGCACTTTACTTTTTTACCAGGTCACTCCTTATTTCTACTTTTCGTTGACTTTTTGCTCACGTGAATCAAATTTTACGTTTTTAGAGAAACAAATAAATTTCGCGACCAAATAGAAAGACAATTTGGTAGCTTGTGAAGAGCCTAAAACATTGAAAATGAGGAAAAAACCTGACTGTAGTGGTGACTCGGTTACGAAACTTTATCAAAAGTTGTATTTGTATTTGTATTTGTATGAGAAGATCTGTCTATATTAACTAATTTGAGATATACGAACAACTTTTTTTTTCTACTTTTATGCTATTTCACACTATTTTTTCCATTGTAAGGAGTTTTGAGGTTATGAATGTCATTTTTGAGTACAGATTTGAATTTTACATCAAATTTTATATCAAAATACTACATGGTTTGGACAATTTTTCATCTGCCCCTAGAAAAGCAGAGTAAAAAGCAGAATATCCTCAAAACGTGAAAATCCAACTTTGAGCCCCTGTACATCCATCCATGGTTAGACCTAGGGAGCTGTGATTTTCAGGATTTTCATTTTTCATTGTGTTCTTGAAGAGTACCTGGTTAGTTTCAACTTCATTTTTTGGCCTGCAACACCTGTTATTGAATAGCCCTTGTATACATTTTTTTTAAATTTTGAGATTCCTAAGAACGCAACTTCTGAAATTGCATAAGAGCTTGGGTTCAGTATACGAGGTTTCCTCGTACGCGGTGCTTTTTTGGAACGTAAACCCCACGTATACGGATGGAATACTGTATTTTCAAGACAAATGTTCAAAAACCACTTTTTTTTGTTTAAATAAATGAATTTTTAAAACGGTTGCTAATATCGTAAAACTGACGCCAGATTTTGAAAGAGCGATAAAATCTCATAAGATATTGTAATTCATCATTAATTTGACAATGGTTTCATAAAAAATAACGCCTGGAAAAATATGTCACAATTAGGGTCTCTTAGTATTGGACGGGTTAAAATCGCTTTAATATTGTTGAGACCATGTATAAACAGATAAATCGACAACTTAATTGTAAACAATATAAGCATAAACAAATTTCACGTCGTCCCTCGAACACCGATCGTATTTATAGTAGAAACAAGTTAGTTTGAACGTTGTCTTTAACAATCTAACGATCCATAATACCAGAAGATAAATTTTACTCATTCTAATTACGGGGGAATGAATTGAAGGATCTGACGTTTATTTTTAACACCGAAATGGATAAAATTGACGAAAGCTCGAAGGAAGTTGTCTTAGAAAATAATTCAAGTAAGCACGACGATGTTGTTTCAAACGACAAAAAACACTTTTGTGATATTTGTCACGAGGCATTTACACTAGAATCGAGCATGATAGCACATCGAGACAAAATTCACAATGAAGAGAAGAACTATGGATGCAACAAATGTGAGAAAAAATTTGAATTCCGAAGTCATCTGAGTAGACACCAAATATCAGAACACAAAAGCCGTAAAGATTTTGCATGCGACATGTGCGAGAAAAAATTTGTGAAAAAATCTAGTTTGACTACGCACCAGAAATTAGTACACAAAAATAGTAACAATTTCACGTGCAACAAGTGCGAGAGGAAATTTGAAAATAAATCAACTTTACTCAAGCACAACAAAATATTTCACGAAGTTTTCAAAAATTACTTGTGTGAAGTGTGCGCGAAGAGATTTGACACTAAACATACTTTGCTCTTGCACATAAAGACAGTACACGAGCATCGCAAAGATTACGCATGCGACAATTTTGAGAAAAAATTTAGTAGTAAGTCAGCTTTGTTGGATACCCAAAGAACAATACACGAGGGTCCCAAAAATTATGCTCGCGACAAGGGCGAGACAAAATGCGAGGAAAAAGTGAATTTGCTTATCCATAAAAAGGCAATACACAAAGGCCGCAAAGATTATGCATGCGATCAGTGCGAGAAGGTATTTGGACACAAATCTAATTTGCTTTCACACCAAAAAATAGTTCATGATGTTCGAAAAAATTATTCATGTGACATGTGCGAGAAGAAATTCGGACTAAAATCTCATTTGCTTCGACACCAAAAAACAGTTCACGGAAATCGCAAAGATTTTGTATGTGACAATTGTAAGAAGACATTTGGACATTCATGGCATTTGCTCTCCCACCAAAGGACAGTACATGAAGGTCACAAAGATTACGATTGCGACAATTGCGGAAATAAATTTGGACAAAAACAGGGTTTGCTCTTCCACCACAGGACAGTGCACGAGGGTCGAAAAAATTACGCTTGCGACAAATGCGAGAAAAAATTTGCGAAAAAATCGCATTTGCTTGACCACGTGAAGTCAGTACACGAAAAACGGCCGGTCTTCAAAAATTACTCATGTGACGATTGTGGGAAGAAATTTGGAAGTAAACGATATTTACGTTTGCACATAACTTTAGTCCATGAAGGTCGCAAAGATCACGCATGCGATAGGTGCGAGGAGAAATTTGGAATCAGATCAAATTTGTTAAAACACCAAAGGACAGTACACGAAGGTCGTAAAGATTTCGCATGCGACATGTGTGAGAAGAAGTTTGGGGATCCAAGTAATTTCAAAAGACACCAAAGAATAGTCCACAATGGTCGCAAAGATTTCGCATGTGAAAATTGCGAAAAGAAATTTGGACAAAAACAACAATTGCTTTCGCACAAAAAAATAGTTCATGATGGTCGCAAAGATTACGCATGTGAAAATTGCGATAGAAAATTTGGACTTGAACATCACTTGTTTATACACCGAAAAACAGTACATGAAGGTCAAAGAGATTTCGCATGCGATAAGTGCGAAAAGAAATTCGTAATCAAACAGCAATTGCTTTTACACAAAAAAATAGTTCATGAAGGTCGGAAAGATTTCGCATGTGACAAATGCGAGAGAAAATTTGGACGTAAAGGTGATTTATTGAAACACGAAAAGATAGTACACGAAGGTTGTAAAAATTACTCATGCAACCATTGCGAGAAGAAGTTTGGACAAATGTCACATTTGCTCTCCCATGAAAGCACAGTTCACGAAGGTCGTAAAGATTACGCATGCAACAAATGCGAGAAGAAGTTTGGACAAAAATCAAATATGCTCTTTCACCAAAGGCTAGTGCACGAAGGCCGTAAAGATTACGCATGCGAAGATTGCGAGAGGAAATTTGGACATAAATCAGTTTTGTTGAAGCACCAGAGGACAGTCCACGGATTTCATTAAAATTGTGTATACTTCTATCGAATTTGAGTTGACACCAATAAAAGATTCTACAAAGTTTTAACTTAAGCCAGGAAGAGTTCTTTACAGTCCTTAAAATTATTAGAAGTCTTCTAATTGAAACATCATTGTTCCTAGTACTTTCTACAATCCTATTTAAATTATGCGTTAATCATAATTTTTCGAATTTTCAATGACTCAACTGAACCGCGAATAATATCAATTTTTGGCCTTTTTCTAATTCAGTCTTGCGTACACGTTGTGCTTTAAAAATAGATAAATAGAGTTTGGTAGGAAGGTAGGCGCTGGGAACTTGCAGCAAATTTCGGAATGATTATTTACAATTTTTTATAATTTATGGTATATTGTATAAGGATCCGTTGACTCTAAATTGAAAAAATATTTTTTGAAGTATTGAATTATTTACTTTAAGAAAGTCAAGAATTTCTCAAAGAAATTTTTCCCAGGTTAAAATTTTAAATTGGGGTTGTAAACAATAGATTTAATAATATATTATATAGAATTTTTCATTATCAATGTGTATGATTTTTAAACTTGATGTTGTCCAAATTAGACTTTTATACTGGTTCACACTCGGAAGGCAATGTATAAACAGATGAATCGACAATTTAATTGTTAACAATACAATCATGAACGATTTTGACATCGTCTCTCGAACCCTGATCGTGTTTATAGTAACAAAAAATTAGTTTGAATGTTGTATTTCACCGATCAAACAAGCCATTATACCGAAAGATGAATTTTAATTATTCAA